CCCTATAGCGTTTGACAGGCGTTAGACAGGAGTTTGGGAAGCATTTTTAACGCTACCCAAACGCCCTATGCATGGTTTTGAGGCATTTGATTGGCATTTACCAAGCGTTAAACCGCACCACAAATGCCTATAATGCGGTTTAAATGGTATTAACGCTCCGCAAATGCCTCGCAACTGCTTCAAAACCGCGTCACAAACGCCTGCCAGGCGTTTGAGTAGGGGCACCATATACTTTATGCTTTAACTCCTCCTGTCTGGACAAGAGGTGTCAGTTTTGCCGAGACACAATGTGATGCGACACTAACGCTTCAGTGTGAACAGCACTGTGTGCTGCCATGTGCAGAATTATCACAGGCGTTTGAGAAGCATTAAAAACGCTTCCCAAACACCCGTCTGATGCCTGCTGACAAAGCTAGTGTGAACTGAGCCTAACAGAAGAAAAAAATAAGAAGTTGGGAATTGCCAGTGTTGTGGTGTACTTCAAAGAATGGGCAGGGGACAGTAAGTAGTTTGGAGGACTGCAACTTCTGAAAGTGTTATGGGTGGTTAATCACAAGAGAATGCATTTCCTCACAAAACTTGTTACAAAAAACCTCTTCCTATATATGAGTTTAGCTTTGTATTTAGCTATTTGGCAGGTGTTGCCCTTTAAAATAATGTTGCTTTTTTGCTTGTCAGCTGAAGCAGATATTTTTTAACTATATGTTCCTGGTTGGTCCACAATCTGTCCGAAAAGCTTTTGATTTTTTGGTTCATTAAGGAGAAAGATGTTGTGTTAGGTGAAAGTTTCCCATTTAATGGCGTGCTTCGTACATTAATGAGAATGATACTTTTGTAACTGACAAAGGCTAATGACAAGTACAATAAGTCAGCCTCACTGTTGAAGTGTGCCTAGCCGGATGATAAGTTTCTGGAGTAAATCCACATAATAACCAAACTCTTTCATACTATAAAGCAACGGCCTTTGAAGTTTTAAATGAGCACAAATTCATTATTTTTTAGGCTGATTAAGATGAGAGAATGCAATAATTTGTTCGGGTTAAGGGGATGCTTTTATGCGGCATGAAAAGGCTAAGAAAAATATGCAAGTAGGAAAAACAAAGAAATGAATTAGAATTGAATTAAATAATTAAAAATACACATACTATGCAAAATCAAAATGGTAAACAAAACAATGTAATTTAAAGAGACTTTGCAGATTGGCACTGTACAGCATAAGGCCACTTTAAAGTGGTTCTAAAGCCTAAACATTTATTACCTTAATGCATTCCCTGAAAGAAGGTAAAAAAAATGTTTAGGTAACACTATGCCCCCCCCCTCAGCTTCCCCCCTTTCCTACTTGAGTCCTCGCTCTATCCAGCACTGTGCCTGTCTGTGCTGGCTCTCCCTGATCTCACAGATTTTGCTGTCATTTAAATCCTGTGAGGAGGAAGAGGGGGCTAGGCTGAGCCATGCTGTCTGTGTCTATGGATGAAGGCAGCGTGGCTCAGGAGCAAGCCCACAGCTAATACCCCATAGAAAGTGGGTTCCTATGGGCTACCACCGAGAAGAGAAGGAGCCAGGAGCAGGGGAACCAAGAAAAGAGGGTTCGGGTTGCACAGAGTAAATAAGTATGAGATGTTTGCTATTAAAAAAAAAAAAAAACTCTTTAAATCTGAATTGCTTTAAAACATTAAATTAGATATGAATTATTCAGTAAAATTAAGACTACAAAAATCATTTAAAGGTCACCACACACATTACAATCTTATTGTACAATATCCTTTAGATCTACCAAGAACTATGTGGTGAAAAAAAGGCCTGTTTGATTGCTTACAAACTGGATAGTTTATCACAGGTAGGTATTCATGCTACATTTACATTTACAGAAGTAGGAACAACAGAACACTTGCAATAATATCAGTTATCACTTTTATGGTTATGATACTGCAGTCTTACTTTGCAATAGTTGTTTTATCACATTACTTTGTTTTCTCTCCCTCTCAGAGCAATCAGTGTCAGGTTGTAAGACAACTACAGAGGGTTTCTCAACCATGGGCTGATAAAGGGTCTGTGAAGATTACATCATATTGTATGGGAGACTGCAGGATTCAGCAAAGATACAGAGTTCAGAGAAACGAACTTCAGCTTATAGCAATGGGGAATAGATGTCTGACACTCCTAGAAGTGTTGAATGCTATAGACACTGATGGAGGCTGCAGTGCTGGAATTGAGAGAAGTTACAACACACAGGCCAGCGGTGAGGTGTGTTTTGTGAGTGAGTAAGTGAGTGAGTAAGTGAGTGAGTGAGTGAGTGAGTGAGTAAGTGAGTGAGTGAGTGGGTAAGTGAGTGAAAAATGAGAAATTTCCAGGGACTTGACAATCAGACCCATCGGGGTCTCTTTAAGGTAGATGTAAAACTTAATCAAGTGACTTATATTTTGCTAAAGAATTGTGTATTGCAAATGTCACACAGATACCATATTGGTCTGGTGATTTGATCTGGGGTTCCATTCCCTGTTTGGCACATGGCAGCCAGGCATGTTTTTTACTTTTTATTTTTGGGGAAGAACTTGGATGAGGTGAGGATGAGCCTAGGGATACTCCAGAAAACTATAACTTGATAATGAGGACTCTAAACTAAACTATAACTTTAGGGTGAAAACACCCCCTTTGAAGTTGTAGATCCTAGTTGCAAACAGGAATCCTAAAAGACATGCAGTCCTGAATGCCAATGGTAGCAACTAAAGGTCTTCAAAAGAAGTTAAGGACAGTCTATGGATCCCACAGGCAAGTACTCACTGTTTCTGATTTCCAGGCAGCCAAGTGCAAGTTCAGCAAACTTCAGTACTCCTGTGGCCTATGTGCTGGATCTGTAGTGGACTTATTGAAAGCACTCCCGGAAGGATAGGGCAGAGGTCCCCCAACTTAACTGTAGCTGGAAATGCTGCAGTCTAAGGTGAATCTCCCAGGAGTGCCCTCAGGCTGGGTCTTTCTCCTCCAAGACTAATAGGCCCTTGCTCTGGTCCATTTGTACCTCTCTCAGCCCCCTGCTGGCCACCTGAATAACAATCAGGGATTGGCTGGGGAGATATCAATATGCAGGCTGGGGTCAGGATTCTCCTTCCCAGCTATGTCCAAGGATGCCCTGAGGGACGGGGGAAGCAGTTGAGCTCATACCTTTGGAGTCCAGAGTAAACCTGTCTAATCAAGCCATACCTCCCTGTTTACAGAGAGGCCTAAAACTAAATTTAGCAGAACAGTTGCTCTGAAAACGATACACAAACAATTGACATATGTTTTGTAAATAAAATACTTGATTTTATTTCAGTGATTTTGCCAGTCTGTATCCTCTTTGCAGCTACTTCTTGCCTACATGCCTGCACCCCAAGATTGGCTGCATTACTTCTGTCAAGGTCGGTTTTCTGATTGTGACAACAGTGGACCAAGGCAGCATAATATGTGCTGAAACAACCAATTGTAATCTTTATAAAAAGCCCACGTGACAGGGTAACAATATGGGAGCACGTTTGGGAGAGGGATAATGCATTTTCAATGCCGGAACAGGAAGTGTCTGATCTAGGACTTTCATGCAGGCAGAATTATCAGGTATAATTTTAATAAAAAAGCTGCAGGTATTAAAAGAGTGAAAAAAATCACTTTTGAAATTACATTAAAGTGTTAGTAAAGGCTAACTCTAACTATTTTCAAAATGTTCCCTCCCTTTCCTCCTACCTATTCTGCGTAACCTGTATAAAAAACTTTTGTGTCTAGATCCAGCAGCTCCAGCTCCTATTTGTAAGGATGCACTCCACAACAGCTGTGAATTTCTGTAGACATTACCTATAGGCTCTCATGGCCCAGCTGTTATCAGCACTCCCTTGTTTCCTTTGCAGGAGCTGCTTCCTGACACAGGAGAGCTGGAGCTTCTACATTAGGTGACTGCACTGGGCTGGATAAAAAAAATAGGTAAGGAGAAGGGGTGATGGAATGTTTTTGAAAATAGTTTGAGTTGGTCTTATCTTCCATTTTAACATGCTAATGCTTATATAGGTGTAGTACTACCCTCATGAGGGCCGCCGAGCCATGCTTGTCCTCTGGAAATGCCCTGACCTTGCAAACACCTCAAAGCTTCTGACACTTCAGGTTCAATCAAAGATTTCTCATGTGATTTTCAGCAACTTTATCACCCAAGTATTACCCAACTCGAATGAGAAAGCAACTGAGATGACTCAACCAACAGAAGTGGCACTACTTCGAATTTTCCAAGCCTAGACCATAAACAATCTGGTAGAACCAAGGAAGTGGAGAGTAGTGGTTCTATTTTGACAGGGGGGTGGGGTATACATATACCACTTGCCTGCCATCCAATAGCATAAGTACTGCTACAGGGTGCACAAAATCACACATATATATTGTGACGGTATGAACGGCAAAGTGATGGATGGACGATATGTGTCACCTCACATGAGGTCATACTGTGAGGTGTAAGGTGGAGTCCACTCCGGGTTTTCGGGGCCACAATGGCAGAGGTGGTTCCGGACCAGAGTTTGGGCTCCACTGATGACCACCAACAGGTGATATAAAAAGGGCAGGGCTGGAGCAAGGAGTCGCTCGTGGCCTGGGACTCAGAGAGGTATTCTGAGAGAGCTGTGTGTGTACTATACCTAAAAGAAAAGGTTTGCTTTTGTTTTGGTGAGAGGGAGAAGCCCTTCACCTCTAAGAGAGGAAACGTCTTCTGTTTAGTTAGTGCCTGGATGGCAAGGGTTTATTTTGATGTTTTGTTTATTTTGATATTTTTGCAAACCTTTTAAATAAAACTGACAACCAGTCAGATTTTGACGAAAGCCTGCTGTGCGGTCTACCTTTTTCCCAGGGAAGGAGATCCCCCACCTGAGCTAACCCCACAATATATATATATATGTATATATATATATATATGTGTGTGATTTTCATTTCTGATAAGGTGGCGCGTGCTGCCCTACCCGCGCCTATATTGGCGGCTAGGGATGTCAGTCATGGATGTCCCAGCTGGCACTCGCCAATCATAGGGGAAAGCTGACAGGGGAGACACCTGTGTATAAACAACACAGGTCTCTCTCCTATCAGCACAGACATGCTGTTTTGTATCTCCCTGCACAGCAGAGAGATACAAGACAGCATGTTTCCCTAGTAAAACACAGCACACAGTAAAATACACACAGCACACAGTTAACCCTTTGATCACCCCAGATGTTAACCCCTTCCTGTCCAGTGTTATTAGTACAGTGTCAGTGCTTTTTATTAGCACTGATCATTGTAAAGTGTCACTGGGGATGTCAGTGGCAGTTTGTCAGTTCCCACCCAGTGTCAGAATGCCCACCGCAGTCCCGCTATAAGTCGCTGATTGCCGCCATTAATAGTATAAAAAAAATAAAAATAAAAATTCCAGTATATATACTGCCAGTTTTAGATGCTATAACTTTCATGTAAACCAATTTTTTTTTTTAGCAAAGACATGTAGCACAATACATTTTGGCCTAAATTTATGACAATATTTGATTTTTTTAATTTTTTTATTGGATAAGTTTTATGGCAAAAGGCAAAAAAAAATTTTTTTTTTTTCCAAAATTGTAGGTTTTTTGTTTATAACTAAAAGAAACCCGCAGAGGTGGCCAAATACCACCAAAAGAAAGCTCTATCTGTGGGAAAAAAGGAAATACATGTAATTTATGTACAGAGTTGCATGACCGCACAATTGTCAGTTAAAGTAACTTAGCATCATATCGCAAAGAATTGCCTGGTCAGGAAGGGGGGGGGGGGGGTAAATCCTCTGGAAGGCAAATGGTTAATTTGTTTTTTTTTTTCATATGTAATATAGTATATATGATGTTTGGCTAATTTATATTTTTTCAATACTATTTTAGTGAACAACTGTATTTATATTTGAGATAATGTCCTGATGAAGTGTGTCATCCCACGAAACGTGTTGGCCTACACTTATTGATCTCTGAGGACTTTCATGCTATAGTTATTCTATTCATTTATGTGGAAGACAAGTGGTAGAGTTGACGTCCTATTGCAAACCATATGTTTTTTTTAACTGATTTTTTTTACATTGATGTAATAAAGACATGTAATTTCTTTTAACATTTTTGTCATATGTATATTTGACCATTGGAGGGGCATTTAAAGTCCCACTATATGTATTCCTGTTTGCTGTGTTTCACATAGGGATGACACCCTCCAATGGTATAACCTACAATCAACACATTCCCCTATATGTACAATCTTTCTTAATTGGTATAAGAGGCTGGATCATCTGGTAGAAATGGTTGTGGTCCTTTAACAATTTGAAGGATGTGCTATGATGGTCGGGTAGTTCTGCTTGCAGAGATAAAAGATGGTAAGGAATCATTTTAACTTAAGCAGGTTATAGGTGTCTGCTAGCAGTGTCCGTGTATGAAAGATAGGTATCTGAGAAAGAGTAAAAAGTGGAAAAAAGACTGGGCAACTGCACTCTCAACAATCCTGATTGTAGCAGCAACTCTGTGGTAGTCATGGTGTAAATCAGTCCTTGAAATTTGCACTCGCCTGTTCGCATTGGCGAGTGGAAATTATGGTGGGGGCGAGTGTGCCCCCAGGGCCATCTTGCTGAGCAGGCTTGGAGCTCAGGCCGGCTCTGTCACTCGCACTGGAAGCTGTCAAACCGCTCAATAGCTGAGAGTAGTGAAAGCAAAGGAAGGAGTTTGTGCTGTGCTCTCTCTGCCTCCCCCTAGAGTGCAGTACCCGCCTCTGTGAGTAAAGGCAAGGAAGTAGTGCAACTTTTTATAGGGCTGTGTGTGTATGTATCTGTGTGCGTATGTGCGTACGTGTGTGTGTATGTGTGTGTGCATGTCTGTGTGTCTGGGGGGGGGGTCTGTGTATGTATCTGTGTGTGTGTGTGTTTGTATGTATTTACGTGTTTGTGTGTGTACATGTGTCTGTGTGTAGGTACATGTGTCTCTGTGTATGTATCTGTGTATGTGTGTGTATGTACATGTGTGTGTGTATGTACGTGTGTGTGTGTATGTATCTGTGTGTATGTATATGTGTCTGTCTGTCTGTGTATGTATATGTATGTGTGTATATGTACTGTATGTGTGTGTATGTGTATGTATGTATGTATGTGTGTATGTGCATGTGTCTGTGTGTATGTGAGTGTTTGTAAGTGTCTGTCTATGTATGTACGTGTGTGTGTGTGTAAGTGTGTTTATACATGTGTCTGTGAATATGTGTATGTATCTGTGTGTGTGTGTGTATGTATCTGTGTGTGTATGTATCTGTGTGTGTATGTGTCTGTGTGTGTCTTTTGTGTATGTATTTTTGTGTGTGTACATGTGTCTGTGTATGTATGTACATGTATCTGTTTGTGTACATGTGTCTGTGTATATGTATCTGTGTGTGTGTGTGTATCTGTATGTGTGTGTGCGTGTGTGTGTGTTTTTGTCTGTGTATGTTTTTGTGTCTCTGTGTATGTATGTACATGTATTTGGTGTGTATGAGTGTGTGTTTGTGCATGTGTTGTGTGTTTTTTGTGTGTTTGTTGTGTATTTGTATGTATTTTGTGTGTTTTTGTTACGTGTGTGTATGTATTATGTGTGTTTGTATGTTTTTGTATTTTTGCGTGTACATGTTTGTGTGTGTGTATATACATGTATATGTGTGTGTATGTACATGTATATGTGTGTATATGTGTGTATATGTGTGCATGTACATGTAATGTATCTGTGTGTGTATGTGTCTGTGTATGTGTGTATGTACATGTGTCTGTGTGTGTGTATGTACATGTGTCTGTGCATGTACGTGTGTCTCTGTGGTGTGTATGTACGTGTCTGTGTACATGTGTGTGTCTGTACATGTGTGTGTACATGTTTCTGTGTGTGTGTGTGTGCTTGTATGTGTACGTACATGTGTGTGTGGAGGGCCTCTGGGGATACTGATGTAATGTGGGGAGACTCTGGGGACCCTAATGTAATGTGAGGGGACTCTGGGGACCCTAATATAAGGTGGAGGACTCTGGGGACCCTGATGTAATGTGGAGGGGGACTCTGGGGACCCTAATGTAATGTGGGGGGACTCTGGGGACTCTAATGTAATGTGGGAGGACTCTGGGGACCCTGATGTAATGTGGGTAACATGTAACTGTGTCATTTTATGAGATAATTTACAAGGGCATGTTTAGGGGTGGAATTAGGGGTGAGGAAGGGTAAGGGTTGGGTGGGGCAACTTTTGGCGAGTACCTCTTAAGGTCTGACTAGTAGCTCAGGACTTGAAATTTTGAGCCCTGGTGTAAATCCTACTTTGGTACTGTAGCAAGATGAGGCAATGAAGTGATGAAGTGGTAGAGATAGCAGGAGACCCACGGGCTGCAATCAGTATGGCTGCCTCTGTGCCTTGGACTGTTGCAGGATAATGTAGTGTGGGGTGGCGTGGCTGGCATAATGGAGTATAGTGTTGCCTTGACCACTGAAGCGCTGTGACACTAGATGACTGGTGATGAAAGGTGCCAGGTCGCTGTACTCCAATTGCTGCAAAGGGCTGTGACACTGGATGTCTGCTAAGCACAGTGTCACCTTGTCTTTGATTGCTGAGCCGGACTGTGACACTGGGAACCTGGAGCTGAGAAGTGCAGCAATGCTGTGTGAACTTTCAAGCGTCTCCTGCCAAAAAGGCACCTAGCCCACCAAATCTGGTAAACATATAGCTTCCCCCAGAATTCCCTGCTGCCTCAGAACACTGGGATTTGTGGTCCAGAGCCCATTTGACTCCTCCGTAGGTACTAGCTAAAAAAACTACAAGTCCCAAGATTCTTTGCTGCAAGTTAGGAAACATTCTCTTCTAGAGGCTGGAAATGATGTCATGTGCTAGCTTGGACATTAGAGGGGGAAAAATCAGTCTGTTGTATATTTTTAAAGATGTCCTTTCTTCTCCACTAGTTTTCTAGTCCCTACATCTACATACATAAGATGATTGTATTGAATTTACATATACTTTAATCCTTCTGGGGTAGGTACACTATTTTTTTTGTGACCCATATCCAAAAAACTTGGAGTACTGTTCTAAGCACTGCAAAACTTTGATCTGCAGTACATAGCACATATCGTCTGCTAACATTCAAATAAGCTCATCCAGGTTAGCAGAAACAGATCCAAAAACAGAAGGTAGGAATGCTGCACACCAGAACCAGGCCACTATACAGAGAGATGAAGATATGACTTCAGCAGCTTGATAGCCTCCTGGCTATGCTCCTATGACATGTTTTGCCCCACCTGCGGGGCTTAATCATAGAGATAATAGGGTCCCTCTTCAGGATAGGTCTGTGTTTTTTTAAGAACACTTTTCACTTCAAAATGTTGATTGGAAAAAATTGGTGATAAATGGGCACATTTTAATGATTGATTCTGAACTTTTCAGAGAAGGTGCTAGCAGAGTATCCCTCTCCATCTTCTCAACTAAACCAATAATTTAATTTAACTCTTGTTCGCCATATCCCTTTGCCATAAACATATTCTTCAGAATAAGGGCCTGTGTCTGATAATCATTCAGAGTGTCACAGTTTCTTCAAATTCTAATAAATTGACCCTTAGGAATATTATCTAACCATTTTTTTTTTTTTGTTGCGCCTGTTGGGGATGAACCTATTTCTGTAAGTACTCCTAAAGTAAGACTTTGTGCAACTACAGCTCTTGTGCACAAATAAAATGAAATCTAAAAAATAACTTGTGATTATATTTATACAACAACTTAACATTCTTCCTATTAATGTGCAAAAATCCATAAATGTAGCCAGCAAACCAGAGTCACTATCACTGACCAAGAAGACATTATCAATGTACCTTTTTGTAGAAATGCAACTGGGGCCAGTCTTTGTTATATGTCACAATTTCTTCTCACCTGACCATAAAGAGATTGGAGCAAACTCAGCCCCCATTGCTTTGCCCTTCTTTTGCAAGAAGAATGTGCCATTAAACCAAAAAATGGTCCAAAGCATATTCTAGGAAATCTAAAATAAACTTGTTCTGCTTGGTTGGGATGATATATGACCTTCCTAAATAGTATTCTACTGCCTCCATTCCATCATAGTGGACTATGTGGGTGTATAAGGACCTTACTAATAAGGTTTTAACCCACATATGAACCTCCCTAAAAGAGAAGCCCATCCATTCATCCATCCTATACATTCATTATAATACATGCATTGTCTTACACTATCCACACAGGTGAACTACTGCAATCCAATTTTACCTCTCCCAGGCTGTGGTATGGTGCTTCACCATGCTAGATTAGCAGTCTCCATCTGCTTCCCAGTAGATATTTGTGAATGAATGTCAACAACAAGGTGAAAAGTAAATAAATA